ATACTTGTGAACAGATTAACTGAATAAAGTGCTCAGATATTCCTTACTTTGGAAAAGCCTTCATTGTGTTGTATTTCCTGGGGAAACAAAATAGATGAAAGAAAATGAATATGTTCCGTGTGTGTGTGTGTTCTAGCTCCACCACTTCAGATGTAACTGAGGGTTGCAGCCTTGTCCGCTGTATGGATTGGAACTCTATTTCATTCTCAGTTTTATGTATCTCTGAAAATGGGCTTTTTTTTTTTTCTGTCCCAGAGAAATGATGAATACAGAGAGATTTCTACTGGCTCGTAACAACTCCAGAAAATTCTGTCTGGCCCTGTTCATTAAGCTCCAACCTCCATCCCCCTCCTTCCCCTGCTGACCCCCTTGTCTCCTCGGAGCTGCGCCGGGAGGCAACACAGCCGTCTCCACGTTTGTTCTCTTTTAATGAAAAGGGGTAAGTTTTGTAAAGAGTGAGAAGTGTAAGAAACTGTGTTGACTACGATACTAGTTCTTTTTGGAATATTCACGTGTCTACTGAAGCAGTGCCTTTCCTGGTGGCCCACATCAACACCACATTCCTGGATTTCTTCTCTTCCCTCCTTAGAGCAGTCCTTCTCAGAGAGCAGGGTGTTCACCCTTCGGCACCCTAGGCCTGTACAACCTTCCCAGACCTCCCACCCCCTCTCAGCCATCCCATCTCCAGAACACTGGGGACACAGTGGTTCAGATCTCATTCAGTGGCACCATCCTCTCTCGGTCACCTACCGTCTGCTGTGAGCTGCCCTGTACTCACCAGCAAGGGACAGCCAAGGCGTGGCAGAGCGACTTGGTGTATAATCGTTATGTTCTTACAGTCGTGTTTTAAGCCTATTAGTCCTTTTTTCATAAAAAAAAAAAGTCCTTCCCAACAGCAAAAGAGATAAATGCTTGAAATGATGAATGTGCTAATCAGTCCGTCTGATCACTGTATATTTTTCACATCGATATACCACTACGTATACCTCATGAATATGTGCAATTATTTGTCAATTTAAAATATTTAAAAAGAATTAGAACCATTCTGTACATCGGTTCCTAAGCTGGGTTTTAAGAGGTGCTGTTTTTTCCCTCTCCTACACTTCTTTCTATACAGAATTTTGAGGCTGGTGGTACATTGGTGTCCCCTGGTGACGCAAGCATGAACTGCAGCTTGAACATCCCTGAGCAAGACGGTGGGAGGGAGGGGCTGTGGCCCCAAACTCACCAGAGTTTGTTTTTTTTTGTTTTGTTCCATGTTTTTGGTATTGTGAATAGTGCTGCAACAGACTGAGCTTTTTTTCCCCCCTTTTCCTCTTTTATTAATTCTATTAACTATTAAGACTAACTAGGAGCAGCTGTGGTTTCAGGCTGACAGGTCACAGACAATCGACAGACAGAGCTTTCTAGAAGTCTGGATGAAAACGGAGGCATTCTCAGGATACGGGAATACAGAAGGCCACCAGACAGATAGTCCAGCCTCTTACCATGCTAAAGAGAAGGCTCTATGTCAGAGAAATAGAAAGATCATTTTTATTTTTATGCTTTGAAGCCTCTGGATAAATAGCAGGAAATCTCGATGAACAAAAATGGATCCGGGCTACCTGCCACCTTTGTAAAATGCCCTTGTGTCTACTGTGGCCACTTTTCTACGTAAATACATTTGTGATCACACTTGAAATTGCAACATAATTTAAATATTTCATATAGACACAGTGTTTCATCATAGGATGCCCCAAACTTTATTTCACCAGCACCCTTGTGGTGAAAGCTTAATGTTCTAACCATGCTGTCCATGACAAACAATATTACACTGAACACCCTTGTTTATGTATGCGAGTATCTTGTAAAGCATTTCTTTATGAGTTCTTGGGAGTGTTCCTTTAAAACTCTGGAAAGCATAAGATTTTATAGAGGTAATAAATTCAAAATACTATTACTACTTTATATCTCTAACACTCCAGTATGAGTCACTTTCCTTACACATTTAAAATAATGGGAATCATGGCTGATGCAATAGGTAAAAGATTGTTCTTCTTTTTTGTTCTCATTGCAACTCGTGTTAAAATACACCCCAGCATAAAAACGAAATGGACAAAAGTGAGACAGACACACCAAACATCTAGCAGCTAGCAGGATGAGGGATTAGTCACGTAGCCCTGTGTTCTCAACAGCCGTAAAGTTTCTCCCCTATAGTGGAGCAGAAAGCAGCTCCTGAAAACCATTGCTGAACAACTACAGTCGGGCGTTTTCTCAACCGACTACAATGGCCTGATGCCAGCCTACCAACGCCCCCAACCTTGTGGACAGAGGCCCGGTCTTGAAAACATTCTTTACTGATAAATATCTGCAGACCTCCAGCCAGTTTCGGCCAGCTTGTAGAGACTGCCCATGAGCTGTCTTTGTGCCCTTTAGTTCACCTTTTGACACAAAGAGCCAAATTCCACTTCATTCTAATGCTGCGACTCCACCTTGAAGTGGATATGGAATGTTGGCCACACATATGTTTACCCACTGCACAGGTGTCTGACTTCCCTCATGAATATTCGCTGATTTTCCCTAACCCTTCCTCAATATGTGTGTAGGGACTGACCCTGTCTCACACAGACACCAGCCCCCACTCCCTTCTGCAGAGCACGCTCGTCGAGGATTTCCCTGGGAGCCGTGTACCCTAATCTGCAGACTGTCTCTCCCTCTAAACTAAAGTCTTCTTTCCTTCCTTCGTACATCTACAGTTTCTTTGTTGCCTTCTAGAATTCCACCCTTTGGATATGACATAATCACTTTTCGCAATCCCAGTTATTCAGAGTGTTCTAGTATTCCCTGTTATCAACACGCCGTGGAAGGCATTTTTTTTTTCAGTCTGTACACTACTGAAGAGTGCAGTTCCGGACACAGTGTTTGTGGCTGTTTGCACAGTAAGCTGAATGTGTCTTCTGTGAGTCCAGGGAACTGTCTTGGGAGCGTTTTAATAATGTGATAACAGAAACAGGCTGGGTTTGTGTTACGGGTTTGGTGTCACATTTGATCCTCCTATCTAAATTCAGGACCAAAAGTGAAAGAAAGGAATTATCAGGGTGGCAGTTTTTATAACCAGATCCTTATCTACATTCTTCCCTATGTCCTGAAGATGAACTTCTAAAATGGAATTGTTGGCGCAAAGAGTATGCACCTGTGTGCCTTGGTAAGCATTGCCGTAGCCTCAGAAGTTGGCTTAGTGAAGAGTCATCCTGAACAAGGGACGTTTATTTACTTTCAGAAGGTGTCCTGAAACACTTTCTCCTGCTACAGGGATAGCCCTTGGCAAGAAAGTCATTTTCTTTGTGCACACGTAGACAGGGCTCCCTCTGGAGACAGCAGAGAGATGTGTATTGCGGTGCTGGCTTTCGCTATGGTCCCAATGCAGCACAGCACTGCTGGGTGGACGCGTCTGTCCACTTATGGGTTCATTCTCTGGTAGCCCACATGCCAGCAAATCTAAGTCACATTTTCCAGTGCCACCTTCACAGGGAATAGAGTTCATGTAGTTTTTTGTCCTATTTCTTAGCGGGTTTAGAGCTGGGACTAGGAGCAGGGGGCATTTTGGGGAGGGCCAGGGTTTCTACAAGATCCAAAGATTGCGAAGCAAGGCCAGAGGAATAGTTGGGGAGCTAGCGAGGCACAGAAAGAGCAGTAGAGCTGTGGCCTATTATTAGACCCTCCCTGAAGACACAGCAGAAAGAGTGCCCTGAAGGGCAGCTTACTACCAAGAGTTTTGAAGGGCGGACCCCAGCTGAGAAGCATGTTTCACCTCTCCTGAGAATGCACACCCACAGGATTGCCGGAACCTTCCGTGATGACCCCGGTGCAAGCCCATAACCCTGTGGTAGCAGAATCAGGAATGTCCGTACGAATTCGTACCACTTCTTATTCCTTTTCATATTTGTTGTTAGGAGATAGGTGAGGAAAGGAGGACAAAGGGGCCCTAGTGAGAAACCCATTGTGCCTTCTGTTGTTTTGATCACTACCTAATTGTATCGTGGCCATTGGTCTCTAACCCAGCGCCCAGCATGGTGCCAGACATATACTTGCTCTAATAAAGCTCGGAGGTTGCTGGGTCCCACTTGTCCATGTGAAGATCGTCATGCTGGTGTCTGAGTTCATATCAGGTGTCTGGAAAAGGCAAGTCCTGCAGATCCGGTTGCGGTGGCTACTGAAACTTCTAGTCCAGATGTGAAGGCAGCGGTCCTCAGGAGATCCCCAGCACTGTCATCCCCTGGTGGGATATGATGCCTGGCTCATGCGAGTTCATAGATCAGAACAGAAGCATGTTGTAGAGTTGCACTTGCAAAGTTTGCAAAATATCCTGAAAGTAGAGAAGCTACTTTGATCTCAGCGTTGGAAGAGTTTATCGGGTGCGATTTCAGCCTATCCGCAGTTATGTGCTTTGTAGTAGCCCTTGAGGCCCATCTTAGAGACGCCTTCTTTGTCCTAAAGCAATGGGTTGTCTTACTTGAGGAAATAACTTGATGTATACCATGAATCTGAAATAAATTTACATGTATTTTTCTGACTGTATAAATAAAAATCAGTGGTTCACGTCACCCCCATCAGATGAGTGTTGAATTCTGAAGCCCCTTAGAAGGCGTTGTGAGACTGTAATTTAGATTCTTACCTGGTAGCCACGTTTTTATCCGTTCCATAGTGCAATTTTGTAGAATCCAGCACTTTTCCGAATGTTAGTTTGAAATGCCAGTTTACATTTTTTTTCAGAATTAGTGATTGCCCAAAGTTTTGTTGTAACCCTGGAGGCCCATATTAGAGATGGCTTATTTTATCATAAACTAATGAACTGTTCACTTGCGGAGGAAGCTGATGTTTAACATGCATTTGCAATAAACTTACATATGTTTTTCCGACTGCTTAAATAATATAAATGATTCTCGTGTATCTCCCAGATGGATATTAAAATATGACGTTAGAAGATCATCCTAGCAGTTTGAGATCATAATATATATACTTTCATGGTTGCTATGTTTTGTACATTCTACAATGAATTTATTTATGTATTTATGTATTTATTTATTTATTTATTTTGAGTTGGAGTCTCACTCTGTCGCCCAGACTGGAGTGCAGTGGCCGCTCCTGGCCACCGCAGCCTCGACATGCTGGGCTCCTGCGATCCTTCCGCCTCAAGCCTTCCAAGTAGCCGGAACTACAGGCGTGCGCTACCACACCCGGCTGATTTTTGATTTATTGTAGAGATGAGGTCTCGCTGCCCAGGCGGGTCTTGAACCCACGGGCTCAGTCAATCCACTCACCTCAGCCTCCCAGAGGCGCGGGATTACAGGCTGCGCCACCGAACCAGGTTTACAATGAATTTATTTAAGAAGCCAGGAATTTACCCAATGTTAATTTACAAACTCAAAATGTCATGTAAGAATTTGGTATTTTCAAAATCAATAATTACAATACAGTTTAGTGTATTAAATGATGCCAAGGCCGGGCCTGGTGGCTCAGCCTGTAATCCCAGCGCTTTGGGAGGCCGAGGTGAATGCATTGCCTGAGCCCGCGGGTTCGGGACCCGCCCAGGCAACTTGGCAAGACCTCATCCCTACGATAATTCAAAAATTAGCCAGGCGTGGTAGCGCGCGCCTGTAGTTCCAGCTACTCGGAAGGCTGAGGCGGAAGGATCGCTGGAGCCCAGCAGGTCGAGGCTGCGGAGGCCGGAGCGTGCCACTGCACTCCGGTCTGGGCGACGGAGTGAGGCGCCAAAAAAAAAAAAAAATGATGCCCAGCTGTGTCCCATAAAATAACCACATAGACCTAATACCATTATTACTATTTCCCACGACGTAACATTTTCAGTTTTGTAGTGCTCTGTTTGCCTACGTTTCCCACTGCCTTGCCCCATGCAAACTTAGCGTTTCTGTCACTATAGATTCGATTTCATGTCCAAGATATGTATTCAAGTGGAATCATGTATTTTTTTAAAACCAGAACTGACTTCTTTTATTCACTCTGTTTAGTTTTAGATGCATCCATTTTGTTGCATGTATAAAAAGTTTATTCTGTTTTTATTGTTAAATAACATTCTGGTATATGTCTATACCACACATTGTAGTCTTTTGTTGATGGCTATTTAAAAAATAAATTTTATTTTAAAGATGTGGGGTACAATTCAGCGTTAGGCATACAAATGTTCATTATGCAGGTACCCTTGTTGAAGAGGTGTGCCCCCCCTCTGCTGGCAGTTTCCCTCAACTTCCAATCCCCCCTCCCCCCGCAGTTTCCCACTACTGCCAATCCCTTTCTTATAGAACTATGATCATTGTTCAAGTTCTGCTTATTAGTGGGAACATGTGGTACTCAGTTTTCTGTTTCTGTGAGAGATCACTCAGTATTATAGACTCTAAGTCTGTGGATGGCTATTTTAGATGCTTACAATTTGGGGCTCTTGTAAATAAAGCTGCTTTGAATATTTGTGAATAAATCTTTCCATGGAAATGTGTGTTCTTTCCTTAGAATATAAGATCAATATTGTAACAACTGCCAAATTGTTTCCAAATAGTTGTGCCATATTTTAATGCTACCAGCAGCGTATGAGAGTTTCATCCTTCACAAACTTACCAGTGACTTATGGTCAGTCTTAAATTATGATAATTCCCACAGGAGTTCAGTAGTGTCTCATTGTAGTTTTCATTTACATTTCTCCAAAGATCAATGATGTAGAGCATCTTTTTTGTGTGTCCATTTATACTTGTATCTGTTCTATAGTGCAGTGTCTAGTCAACAGTTTTGTTCATTTCTTTATTGAAGTCACTGTTTTTCTTTTAACTGGGCTTTGGTGATTTTTTTTTTTTTTTTTTTTTTTTTTGTCCTAGATACGTCTTTTCCTAAATTGATGATTTTCCAGCATTTTCTTCCTATTAGGGGCTTCTCTTTTCATTTTCTCAACAAAGTCTTTGAAAAAGCTAACGTTTTTAATGTTTAGAAAATGCAATTTGTTAATTTCCTTGTTTATGCGTTGTGTTTTGATGCCTCGTTTATGATATCTGCCCCTAGTCCCCAAACACAAGGATTTTCTCCCATGTTTTCTGGTAGGAATTGTACAGCTTTAGGTTTTATATTTAGATCTGTGGTCCCTTTTAAGTTGATGCTTGTATATGTGATTTATGGGTTATGGTTTATATTTGCGAATACAAATATAAACTTATCCCAGCACAATTTGTTGAAAAGACTATCCTTTCTCCACTCAACTATCTTTGCATCTTTGTCAAGAATCAGTTGTCCATACAGGTATGAATTTGTTTCTGGATTTCTTATTATGTCCTTTTGAATTACTTTTCTTCCTCAGTGCCAGAAGCATACTTTCTTGGTTACTGTATGGTTTTAAGGATTTTTGAAATCAGGTGGTGTATGTTCTCCAGTATTATTCTTATTCCAGTTTGCGTTTATAGTCTCGGTTCTTTGCATTTCCACATAATTTTATCATCGGTTTGTCAGTTTCATTTAAAAGAAGTTTGGTAAGATTGTTACTGAATGTGCATTGAATCTATAGATCAGATTGGGGAAGACTGACATCTTAACAGTACTGATTTTCTGACCCATGAGCATGGTATGTATTCTATTTATTGATGTCTTCTTTAATTCTGTCAGCAATGTTTTGTCATGTTGAGTATGCAGACTTGCACATCTGTAGACAGATTATCTGTAAATATTTTATACTTTTTGATGCGACTGCAAATGACATTATTTTTCAATATACAATTGCTAATTATTATATTTTCTCTGACCTGTTGGCAGCCAAATGCTTAACAATAAGTGTTAAGGAAATTTTTAGTTGAAAGCACGGGGTTTTCTCAGATAACAAACAGTATTTGAAACTTAACATGCTGTATTTCCATATCAGCATTTAAAAGTCATTGTCAGTTTATTGAAACTAAAAAGAGAAATGTTCCAGAGTCAGTTCTGCAGAGCATCTCCACCAAATCACCAAAAGAACATAGTTTAGTAGCTTCCAGCTGTGAATGTGTGGTTAGAAATGAATCTGTTTCAATGTATGATTTACTTCTTTATCCATTCCCCCTCCCGGTAAATCACCTGGCTGAATTGTCAGGATCTTGGATTGTGAGAGAAAGCCAGCGTGATTGTATGAGGGTATGTATGTATGTACCTATATGTGTGTTTGTGTATCATTGAAACTGGCAGGAATAATTGCTGTGAGGAATACTTGCGGTTAATTACTGTGTTCGCATGGCAGTCTTAGTCAGTTCCTAGCACATATGAGGAAGAAGCTGGGGTGGTGATTGTCTTCCCCACCTTTCCTTGGCTAGCTGGTTGCCATGGTGACTCAGTGAAGATTTGAAGACAAGATTCTGAAGATTTGAAGACAAAAAAAATCTGAAAATAATGTGCTGTGGCATTTGGCATCAGGTAGGCCCTCAACAGATATGAGAACGCCTCCTTCATTCTGTCAATGCAATGCCTCTGACATTGCCATGCCAGCATGACTACAGAGAGAATGTTGGACATGTGACAGGAAGCAGGGATAAGCCACATTTCCATGATGTGAGGGCTTCATTGTCACTGCTGTGTGGGGAGGGGTTGTGGGATGGAGTTGGGGAAGAGGAAAAGCATCCCTGCACGGCTTCCAGTTAACTGAGTGGGGAGAGGAGAGGCATCATCACCCTATCCCCTGCATTGCATGTGCCTTCCCATCCTCTAACCTTCCTCCTTATTCCATGTGTTTTCTTAACCCCTTACTCTCCCTCCTATTGTTACCTCAGAGAAGGGTGTGGACTCTGCATCTCAGGACAAGGAGATGATAGGGAAGAACCAGGTGTGAAGTGGAGTTTGCTTTACAGATTGATGGAGCAAGAGTGAAGACGAGATCAGGGACCCAACATGGGGTCACCTTAGGCCAATCACTACTCTTCTACCAGCCTTATCTATACAACAGGATACCAGCCTTATCTATACAACAGGTTATCTATACAATACTCACCCCCCTCGACAACCAGGAGTGCTCTGGAGTTTAAGTGTGATTCCCATGTGGGAAAACACCCTGTGCTTCAAATTGAGAGGGAAGGACCAGTGCACTATTGGGTAATTACAGAGATACTCCAGATCTTCCGGAACTCTGTGTGAAGATGTTTAGCAGTGGTACTCAAATGTGAGCCATCGTGGCTAGAATTTTTCCAGATTTGGTCCGTGTGCCATTGAAGCAAAATTGTTAGGGGATGGCTGTTAAAATAACAGATATTTGGGTCCACCATAAGTCATCTGAAACAAAACCAGGGAGGTAGAATGCAGTGTGTTTACATGTTGAGTAATTTCTCCTATTGTTTTTGGTACTCATCCAAGTTTGAAAAGCACTGCTGTAGATTTACAAGGTCTATTAATATTTTGAATCCTTGGATGTTTGATTTCGTTGTTACTTGCTCCTGCTCCTCAGCTTAAAATATCGGTGTCTTCTCTGGTGTGTCAAATAGGTAACAATTCCTTCAATTCAGTGATATTTATTTAGTGATTTATGTGTGGGGCACAGAGAACAAGACAGGTAAGACCCTGGAGGTGTCAGTCTAGCTTGGGAAAACTGACCACAAGCAGGAAAACAAATCAACGAGCAGGGCGATTTCATATGGGGATTTGTGTTTTGAAGAAAACAAACAAAGAGGTGTAGCAGAAAATATCTGGAACAGGGCTTACAATGGATGGGGTTGTCATCGAAGCTCTTTCTCAAATTATTCTGTTTTGAAGCACATCATTAAAGAATCATATCTCGGTGTTTTATTATAAGACTATCAAAAGGCATATTTGAAGGGAAAGATTAATGGGCAACTTAAACCTAATTTTGCAAAACAAGCAAAAAATAAGGCCACCACAGTAGAGCATTATGCAAATAGTAATACAACTACATAATAAGGATTT